TTTAAAAATCAATGTCCATGATTAATTCATAAAACTAAGGTGGTGTTTGTTTTTTAAGAGGTGCTGAAGTCTGAATTCACTTCTGATTTTTAAGAGGTTGTGCTGAAGTCTGAAATCTGAATYAGTCAGACTGTTTGTTTTTTGCGTCTGAAATCTGAAGTTTGAAGATGAGAGATCGAGAGTTGATATGTGATCGACAGTTGACAAAGTTGAGAGATGAGAGATCGAGACAAAAGAGTTGATCTAGATAAATCGAGCGCAAAGAGATCAGAGTAGGTAGGCGACGATTTGAAATAAGAGGTAATAAGAGGTTTCGCAACCACTTAAATTTTCAGACCTAATAAGAGCTTTTAAGCTCTTAATTGAAAAAAAAAAACAAACACACTGAATCCTCTTATGTCTGATCGATTCATACTTAAGAGGACATTAAAAGCTTTTTTATTAAAAACAAACAGCCCCTAACACAAGGAGCTTTTTTGTGCAAAATTGTGAGAAAATAGTATGGATAAAGGCGATCTTAATTTGAGAACTCATAAAATTGTGATGATCTTGATAACTGATTGATCATGTGTTATTTCACATTATTTTTTTTCCATCTACAGTTTGGACTTAGGGGTTGTTTTTTTTACCTCTTAATAATTTTATTAAGAGGCGATCTCTGAATCGCTAATAGGTGAATCTTGTTTGACAAAAAAGAGTTTGTCTCTTAATGGTTTTGAAATTCACTGGATGATTTTGTATCTTTGGCCTCCCTTAACCATTCAACACCTTAATTTCATTCTGAATAATTACCAAACAATTATATTTCATTTTACACTATATTATAAGAGTCTTTTAATCATTCTGACCACTTAATCATTCTGCACAAAACTATTAAGCAACTACCAAACAGCCTCTTAGTATATTAGTTAACATATATTTGTTTCACAATGTGAATATTTTTATGTGTTTGTGGAACGAAAAATACAACTAAAAAGTTTTATATTGTGAATCATGTGCATATGAAACTGGTATATGTTAATAAATATTTTGTTTCTAACTTTAGATAGAAAAAATCAAGTTAACCTTTTTATAGAGAGGAAAAAAAAACATGTTCACCAGTAATAGTTCTATTAAGAGGCAACTTCTGAATCGTTAAGAGGTGAATCTTGTTTGGTAAAAAGAAAGTCTGTTTCTTAATGGTTCTAGAATTTCTGAATGATTTTGTATCATGCACCTCCCTTAACTATTTAGCGCTCTAATCCATTTTAAACAATTACCGAACAATTATATTTCAGTTTGCACTATATCATGAGAGTTTCTTAATCATTCTGACCACTTAATCATTCTGCACCAAACTATTCAGCAACAGCCAAACAGCCTCTTAACCATTTACTTACAAATATGTATAATTACATATAAATGTAATCTTTATTTTGTTTAAACACGAGGTTTGAATTTCTTTTATTGATGATTGAATTAATTTTTCATTCTCGTTTTACAATAAATTTACATTTTCGTCACATTACATTGATGCACAACTGATATACGTTAACGTATTTATATACTATTGTTTGAGATTACGATAAAAAGGGATAGTGCGCAGGTTATGATTCATCACCATCGTTCTTTTGAAATTAACACTAAAGCGTGCAACATCGTATAACTACCGTTGACAGTTACTTTTTTGACATCGTTGAGATAATCATGTTTTTCTCTCTTGGTTTTTCGTACTGATTCATTCGGTTTTCGTGGTCCTGAACATGTATGTCAAGATGATTTTCGTGATTCTTCGTCATTTTGTTCTTGCACTTGGTGTTCTTGTTGTTTTCGTGACTCCCTTTAACGCATTGTGATGGCCATGAGTGACGATATTGTATTAATGTCCGTTAGACGGTTATTCTCCTGTTGTTGTGCTCGTGGTTTAAACAAATGATAACACTGTTTTCAAATAAAACTAACAGTTATTTACTCTAATTATTAGCTGTCATAAAAATACAAGAAATATTCCAAATTACAGATATATAACTCAAACGACAAAAATTCATCCAAATACAATCTTATGCAACATGTTATGTCAACTGATTTTTTGATTTTAACTATTCAGTATTATTCAGTATTATATAATCATGTTTAAAATGGACATCCAGATACTGTTAAACCAGTACAGATACATTATTGCAAATATCATACATAACCTAATAATTTAATTATTTTCAACAATAATATTAAATTTTAAAATAAAAAAAATATAAAATAATCACATTAATTACCAAAATTTAAGGGGATGCTAAGGTCAATTTCTAATAGCTTGGGTCACATTTGTCCATAATTATTTGTTGTTGGTAGGATAGACTTAAATTAAAATTTGACTTTATACTCCATTTTATTTTCTTTAATTTATAAATTATAAATGATTGAATTTCTTATCTATATTATATTATAAAGTATTTAACAAAAACTCTTAAAAACCATCTTTTATGCATAAAATATTGTTTATTGATGCATATTACTTAAAATTCAAGATTACAAGTAGTTTGTGTATAAATACAACTTATTAAAACTCTATGTTTGAATTTGTGTAACCAAGTGTAGATAAACAAAATTAAATACATGATAAACATCTCATTTTAAATATAAAATCTAAAATATAATTAGAATAACCATGTAGTTCTGACAGAATACTTAAAATTATCATTTTTATAAATAAAAAATTAGATTCTTAACCAAAAAAAAAACTTTATTATTAAACTTAAATTAAATTACAATAATAATTTTGAATAAAAAAATAACATAAAAAAAACAATGACTAATATCGATATATATATTTCAAATTTTTATGATATGTTCAGATTTATATTTTATTCAAAAATAAAAACATTGTCGCTTTCTAAAAACCGCATAAATTGTATTATAACATAGATAGAGACAAAGAATAAAATGAAACATTAAAATCGAGACGTATGTCGTTGCATTGCACGAGTATCATTTTAGTATACATGTATTAACGGAAATTATAAAAACCAGTACGAAAATCATCTATTTTTTGTATCCAAAACCGTTTTGAAAATCATTTACATTGGAATTTTATGGGTTTTAGAATCAAAATAATTAAAAAGAAACTAACCAATCTCAAGGTGTCTTAAAAATCTATTAATTAATATCTAAAGTATACTTTAATAACTAAAAAATGTATAATATTTAATTTAAAATATAACTTAAAATCTATTTAATTAATATCTAGATGTCTAATTATACTTCAATAAAAAAATAACAAAAAAAAATTAAAAATAATAATTAATTTGAAACCAAATAATATTAAAATCATTTGTAGTTATTGAAACAAGCCAAAATCCCAAATACTATAATTATTACAAGAAAATATTAACATAACATTTAGTAGTTTTTAAGCATTTTCAACGGTTTTTTTAAAATAGAGAAAATACAGTTTTTATTTTTTATCTTGTTTTTTAAAATAGAGAATTTTACAGAAAACTCTAAATATAAAGAATTCTTTAAAATTTTCTAGTAAAAAACGAGAATCGTTATTTTAATATTTTCCTACGATGAGATTTATTTTTAGAGATTTTGACATTTTATTCTCTATTTAGAGGGTGTTTGGGATTGTTTATTTTAGGTGTTTTTTGACTTATTTCAGTCTGACACTTGTGATAAACTAAATGCTAGTGTTTGGATGAGGAAAAATAAAACTGTTTATACCGGTGTCAAACCGATAATAAACAGTTTTTGATAAGTTAATTTTTCTTGACTTATGAAAAACTGTTTATTACCAGTTTACCATTTTAACCATATTTTATTAATGTTTGTTAATTATTAATCTTATTGATATAAATTTTTGTCAATAATATGGAAGATTGTCTTTTTTGGTCATTTTACATATATAAGCAAAATTTGCCAAACACTAAAAAACAACTTATCAGCTTATTGTTTTTTGGTACCGTTATAAGCTAATTCAAACACTTTTTACAAAACTCCGTTTTGATACCACGTAAGTTGATAAACACTTTTACAAAAAAAAAACATAAGTTGTTTTAAATAAGCAATCCCAAACACCCCCTTAAAGAAAATATATATAATCTGTTGGAGACGATTCATTATAATAGAGAATCAAAAGCCAAAATCTTCAAAAAAAAGAAATTGGTTTTATCTCAAATAGTTTATACATTTTTTAATTTTACAATATTAATTTTATTATTAAAATATTTAATATAATTTAATAAAATATTATTTCTCTCCTCTAAAATTTAATTTCAACGATTTTCTTTGATTCTAAAAATAAAAATAAAAAACATTTTTCTTTTTCTTAAACTATCATTTTTTAAGAGTTCTTCAAATTTGAAGATTTCATCTTCTATCTCCTGCTTTATCCATTTTAAAGAAGGTTTTGAAAAATCTGGTGGAGCAAAAATCCCAAAATCTTTCATTTTAAAGAATCTGTTGGAGATACTTTCGAATATTTAATTATCAACAAAACATTTTCGATGTATTATACATGAGATTAAATATGGTTTGTTCAGACAGGAAAATTAAAATAACAACGTGGATTGTTTGGTTAGAGGTATTAAGAAGTAATCAATGATGATGAAAATAAAAGAAGTTGTTTGTTTTTATATAATATAATAAGCTCATTCCTCAAAAAGCCCAAATTTTCATTCCAGGTAAAATTGGGAGGAATAGAAATTCATTCTCATTTTCATTCATTTGTCTAAACCAAACATTAGGCTTTCAGAGAAATGAGTCCATTATATATTTAAAATCAGACATTTTCTTTTATTTTCAATCACACTGTTTAATCCATATATAATTTATCAAATTCAATTTTTGTGTATTTATTTTAAAATTAAAGTAGTAAAAACATAAAAGTAATTAATATTAATATTAATATAAATATAAATATAAATAAATAAACAAGTATTCTCTGAAGACACGTTTCTTTCTCTTCCAAGACCACCACTATTTATGCCCCTCTCTTCTTCACCCCCATAACCTTTTCTTTCAATACAAACCCTTTTCAATCTTCAAAACCCTCCGATTATTCCTCTTCAGATCTTCCAAAACCCCCCAAATTTTGCCCATTTCTCAAAACCCTTCAATCCCCAAAGAAAAAAGTTCAAAATTTGCAGAAAAACCAGTGAATTTTGGCAGAAATGGATCACAAATTCGATCACGAAGAACACATCGAACTCCCTCCGGGTTTCCGATTTCATCCGACCGACGAAGAACTCATCTCTCACTATCTTTACCCGAAAGTTTCCGATCACACCTTCAGCGCGAGAGCGATCGGAGAAGTCGATTTGAACAAAGTGGAGCCATGGGAGCTTCCCTGTAAGTAGTACTCTGTTTTCTGTAAATTTTGATTCTTTTCTGAGTTTTTCGATTTCTTCAATTTTGAATTTTCGATCCAATTTGATGGGTGTTTTTGATTTTGAAGGGAGGGCGAAATTGGGTGAGCAAGAATGGTTCTTTTTTTGTATACGGGATCGAAAATACCCGACTGGATCGAGAACGAATCGAGCTACGGATGCTGGGTATTGGAAAGCTACTGGAAAAGATAAAGAGATTTATAAGGAGAAATCTCTTGTGGGTATGAAGAAAACACTTGTTTTTTATAAGGGTCGAGCTCCGAAAGGCGAAAAAACCGATTGGGTTATGCATGAATATCGATTAGACGGCAAGTTTTCCGCAAATAATCTCCCGAAATCGAGCAAGGTACGAAGAACAGGATGAATCGAACCTAATTCCTCTGTTTTTTGGGTCGTTTTTTTGCTTATGAACTCTGAAGCCTGCAATTTGTTCTGTTTTTTAGGGGGAATGGGTGATCAGTCGGGTTTTCCACAAGTGCGCCGGTGGGAAAAAGATTCCGATCTCGGGGTTGTCGAAGGATTTTGGGTCTGCGAATTTGCCGCCATTAATGGAGATATCGAGCTTCGAAGGTGGATCGTCAAGAACAGAGACATCTCACGTGACCTGCTTCTCCGAATCCATGGAGGAACAGAAACCTAATAATCAAGAATTGGTGGGCAGCTGGAGCTCAAGCAAAACCTCTTTAATGGCGTCAAGAAACGAAACCGCCAATTTCCCGAACCCGCTGGTCCAAAACCTCGATAACTTCCAGTACCAAGACTCGATTTGGATGCAGGATTCATCGATCCTCAAAATCTTGATCGAGTCCAACAACGATTCTGTCATGCGGCAAAACCCGAAAACAGAACTGGTTGATGATCAAGACTACGGTCTGAATTCGGATTTCGACTTATGGAATTACTGAACAAGAAGAACAAGGACTCAAAACGATATCGAAAAACAGAGTAGAAACAAGTTCATCTTTTAGGTTGATGATTGTTCATACATTTTAGGTTAATTACAATGATTTGATAGACTCAAAAGGGGATTATGGAATGTAAATCATGAAATCAATCATGGGTTTTTATTACTATTTAAGTTCGCACAGTTACAAATCAGTGATATCTTGATATTTCTCCAAGTGTATTCACAAATTCTCTCGATACAGACATCCGACACCCATATTTTGGTCAATACTGCTTCTTCTTTCGAGATTTAACTGATTACCACTTAATACATATCTTATAAGGTTTTAATTACTATTTAAGTTCACACAATTATAAATTACTGATATTTCTTGAATTGTATCCATGAATTATCGATACCGACATCTTACACGCATTTTCCGTTCATTACAGGCTTTTTCTTACAAGATTTAACTGATTACTACTTAACACGTATCTTACAGGGTTTTATTACTATTTATGTTCACACAATTACAAACTACTGATATTTCATTATTTTCTAATTGTATTTATGAAATTATTGATATTGACATATGTTCAATACTGCCTTTTCTTTCAAGATTTAACGGATTACTACTTAATACATATCTTACAAGGTTTTTATTACTGTTTAAGTTTTCACAGTTACAAACTACTGATAATTTTATATATCTCGAATCGTATTTAAAAATTCTCGATGTCGACATCTTACACGTATATTTTGTTCAGTATAATTTTTTTCTTTTATAAAATTTAACAGATTACTACTTAACATGTATCTTAATTATGTTATAAGACATGTATTTTTCCATGTTGCAACTATTTCATACATGATTTCATCAGTCATTTTCTTGAATTTTTAAATCGATCCGATTAGTGTTAAAAATAAACACTATAATTTGGCATTATCTTTATTTTCTTATTAAGAGTAAAATTCAATTTTGGTCCCTATATGTTGCAATTTTCAACATATACCCTCCCTAAACTTCAAAAACTCAAATTTGGTCCCTCACGTTTGTTAATTTTCAATGGTTTTCGTCCCTCTATCTAATAGTCATTAACTTTTTCTACTCGGTCCGGTTAAATGAGAGATATTTTAGTTATTTTCACTATTTTCTTAATTTTATATTAAATTAAATATTATTTTTTAATTTTTAATTTTAAAACGAAAAAAGTGAAAATAGTAAAAAATTAAACGTATTATGTTTTTTATTTTAGAAAAAGCTCGTTTTTATTTATAATTAAAAATATATTATGTTCTTCTTAATAAAGATTTTTTTTAAATAATGAAAATGACTAAAATACTTTTCGTTTAACTCATGAGTTGTTTGACAGTTGCTGAATGGTTTGAAATGATTAAGTTGTCAGAATGATTAAAAGGCTCTCATGATATATACAAAATGAAATATAATTGTTTGGCAATTAGTTACAATAAAATTAGGGCGCTGAACGGTTAAAAGAGATCCAAGATACAACAAAATCATTCAAAAAGTTTTAGAACCATTAAAAGACATACTTTTTTTTGTCAAACAAGATTCACCTCTTAACGATTCAACTGTTGTCTCTTAATGAAATTATTAAGAGAAAAACAAACAACCCCTGAATTTAACCAAAAAAACTTAACGAGTGTTAGATAAAGAGACCAAAACCGTCAAGAATTGACAAACGCAGACATCAAATTCAAAATTTTAAAGTTTAGAACGATATTCGTCAAAAATTACAAAGATTAGGGACCAACACTAATGTTTAGTCTCTTATTAATGTCAAATGTAATAAAAGAATAATATTGGTAGGCCAACAACCAATTAAGTGGTTTTGATGCCACAGAAAACTTTGGATGACATAGGTTGAGAGTTGTACATTAACCAACTCATTTTAAATTATTATTAATATTATTAAAATGGTACTCGTACAATGCTGCGAGATACAAATTCATTTTAATGTTTCGTTTTATTTTTTATCTATGTTGGTATAATATGGTTTTGAGAATATCAAATTAATAATTTAAGAGTTCTCGTTTTTTTGTACAATTTCTTTAATTCAGTTTTTTTATTATACTTTAATTTATGTCAAATTGAAATAATTTATTTTTGGCTTAACAATATATCCTAATTATATTTTAGATTTTTATATTTAAAATGAGATGTTTATCCTGTATTTGATAATTTAGGTCAAATTGAATTAATTTATTTTTGGCTTAACAATATATCCTAATTATATTTTAGATTTTTATATTTAAAATGAGATGTTTATCATGTATTTGATTATATTTATCTGCAGTTAATTATACAAATTCAGAAATGAAGTTTTAATAAGTTGTACTTACGCGCAATTTGCTTGTAATCTTAAATTTTAAGTAACATGCATAAATAATGATTTTTAAGAGTTTTTGTCAAATGTTTAATAATATAGTATATATACAACAATCTAAACTAATTTGAAACCAATATATGATTTAAGAGCATCTTCAACTAGGTCTGTATAAAGAGTTTTACCGTCTTTTAGTCCAACTGGTCGGTATATACATCGACAGTTTAGAGTTAACTGAAGAAGACTGACAAATATAGTGGGAATTGTTAACGATGGAATTATTTGTGAGGGAGAGTTTATGGAGTTTCTCGATCTGCTCTACGCAAAACAATTTTTCATATTTTACGTTATTTTATTTTTCATGAAATTATAACTGTATCATGTTATTTTATTTTCAACAATTTAAATTATAAAATACTGATTTCTCGTTTTTTTTGCTCTACTTCAGTTCACGATGTTCTTCTCATACATATAAAACAACCTAAACCTATTTGAAACCAATATATGATTTAAGAGCATTTTTAACCAGACATGTATAAAGGGTTTTACAGGGCCTTTTAATCCAGTCAGGCAGATACATACCAACAAATTGGTATTAACTACGGATTTAAATGATACGAGACAATTCGCGAGCTACTCGAGATCGACTCGGTCAACACTCGACTCGAACTCGAACTCGACCCGACATATTAACGATTCGAGTCAAGCTACCCAATACTTGACTAGAAAAGCTCGTGAGATACTCGATTATTTTATATATAATTAGTTTCAAAATATAAAAATAATTTTTATGGTAAAATTTGTAAAATATAAATAATAAAAATATCTTATATTTTCAGATATTCAAACAACATTATGTATTTTTTTAATTATAAAAATTAATCAATTATTTTTTATTAAAATCATAATTAGAAAAAAAAATAAAGAAAAACTATAAAAATGGTTAGTGAAATTGTCTCACATTAGAAGAGAGATGGTAAAGAAAGAGAGAACAGATGTTATAAAAAAAAAGAGATGCGAATGAAATTTCTAACTTTATCTTTTTAATGATGAAGTTTGAAGTTGATCTCGTTAGTTTTATAATAACTAAGAGAACACCTTTAAGTTTTAAAATTTATAAGAGAAATACCCTAAAATTTTATAAATTTCAATGAGTGAGCTTGGTTCGAGCTTGATACAAGTTCGAGCTCGAATTCAAGCTTGATTTGAGTTGCAGTTCGAGCTTGATTCAAGCTCAAGTTTAATTCGAGCTTGAGAAATAGTTATCGAGTTCAAGTCGAGCTTTGAGTTTTACTACTCGCGAGTTTTCGGGTGGAGTTCGAGCTTGGAATTTGGATTTCGAGTTCGAGTCGAGTATAGTGACACTCGAGCTCGACTCCTATCATTTACACCCCTAATGTTAACTGAAGAAAACTCGCAAATACGATACAAAGTGTTCATGGTCGAAATCATATTTGAGAGAGAGTTTTTGGCGTTTCTCAGCTCGGTACGCAAAACAGATTTTTATATTTTACGTGTAAATACGTTACAATTTCGAATACATTTGATCAAAAAGAAAATACATAATTTTATTTATTTTTAATTAAATTTAATTACTTTTTTGCATCACGTCAAACATAAATGGAGGATAAATTATAGAAGAAAAATAAAAGGAAATTTCCATAGAAATTCATATGTTATCGTCTTCTTATTTTTATATTGACAAGTTACATTATTTTAATTTTCTTTAATATCTTAATAATACATATTTTTAATTTGTAAATTATATTAAAATTTAACATATTTTGTATTTGTTTTATCTTGTAAACGTTTATTGGATCACTTACCTTACTGGATGTATATGACAAAAACCAAAAATCTTACTGATAAGATCGATAGTTGCACCCGAATGTCTTACTAGGTAAGTGAGGGTAACGACTCTTAGGGGACGTTTACCAAACACTTACCCGGGTAAGTGCTTACCAAGTCATGTTACCTCACTGGATGAATATGGTAGGTACCAAAAATCTCACCCGGTAAATGAAGGCGAAAACCCTTACCATGGTAAGCGCTTACCGAGTAAATTGTTGCATAAGATTTCGTTTTGGTGGACTAAAAGCTTACCCGATACGTAAATAATAGTGTTAAATTTTACCGGTAAGCACTTATCGGGAAAGTATTTGGAAAACGGCTCCTTACCCGATAACGATTACTCAAAAAATTGTTGTATATAAATTTGTTTTGATGGAGCATAATCTTACCCAGTAAGATAAATGAGAGTGTTAACTCTTACTGAAAAATGTTTACCGGATAGAAAAAATCGCAAACAACTTTTTTTAAGTGGAATCGGATAGTATGCTTATTGTGGATTTGGTCCTTGTGGTATTCAATTTGTTTTGGTCATGATCATTCTGATAAATGCTTCCGTTAACTCCTTAAAGTCAATAAGATATATCATTGCAATGAACGATATTATCGATATTTTAACATCAAAATCATTGAAAACCACTAAGAAATCTCAGGGTTTTCAGTTTTCATGTTGTTTTTCATACAAAAACTCAAAATTATGACTGTAAACGAACCGAACGAACACGAACGAAGGCTTGTTCATGTTCGTTCATTTAACTTAACCGAACAAACGAAAGAACACGAACGGTAAACGAACGAAAATCTTTATGTTCGTGTTCGTTCGTTTAGAAATCAAGTGTGTTCGTGTTCGTTTATTTTCGTTCGTTAACATGCTAAACGAACGTAAACGAACGGGCTAAACAAACATAAACGAACGGGCTAAACGAATATAAATAAATATTATCTGAATTCAAAGTAAATAAACAAAAGATTATATATTAAATTTTGTATATAAACGAACATAAACAAACGAATATAAACGAAAAAAAACGAACGGT